CATGCATATAAAGAGGGCCTACAATAACTCAAATCTTGAAAGGCACACAATGCAGTGCATGAGTCTGTCATTCTGTCAACTAACTCCACCCTTTTCATGACAGCCTGTCAATGCAAAATAAAGCAGCATTGGACAATGCTCAATCCAGTGAGGCGTGTCAGCACCGCTCTCCTCCAGAGAATGTGTCTGCCATCTGGCTCTACAATACATACTCCCACGACAGCCACAGCCTCAGCCAGCTGGGAGCCGCTCTGACAAGTGGCTTATAAATGTGCATTAAGTCTTTCTGAGTTGCTGCAGGCAGCATATAATGTCACGTAAAAGCTATGAAGGCGTCTTACCTTTTGTTGCAGGAACTGCTCCTTAAATTTCTGAGCTTGCTTCTTCAGGGAATTATTTTCTTGTTGTAAAGTTTCAATCTGTAACATAATACAATTGTTTCATTGCTCACTATATGTTGTATCAATGCTACTTGAGTTTTATTTAAATTAATATTAACTACACTGAAGAGAAGGGGGTAAATCCTCATTCTTCAGGCACAAAAAGAAGCCTTTTTGACCTATTGCAAACATTTCCAAACCGCAAAAAACATTTCAGGTAAATGTAAAATAAATTAACTCTACCTCAACACATCTTCTGTCTCATACCTGATTGGCTTTCACTTGGACTTCCTGTCGTAGTTGATCCAAGACATCTGAGGCCACCAGAACATCCTCGCCAAGCCTCTCCGCACTCTCATCAAGTTGGCTCTTGTCTGCTCGGGCTGCCTGCAGTGCGACCTCAAGGACAATCTTCTCGTTCTGGAGGTACTGGATGTTGTCATCCTTGGCAGTGCTTTCTGTCTGCAGCTCAGCCAGCTGGGCCTCCAGCTCCTGGTATCGGGCCTCGAGCTGGTTGATGGACTGCTCTTTGGTGTGCAAGTTCTCCTGAGTGGTTGTCAGGTGACGCATCAGCTCCAGATGTTCCTTCTGCAGTGTCTGCAGCTGTGCATCCTTCTGGGAAAGGGTCAGCTTTACCTAAGACAGAACATTAAGAGCAGAGTTTACAAATGAAGAATTACGTCTAAGAATTTTATTGCACATGCAGGGTGACAAATAAGTCACGGTTACATGTGGCATGACTACCTGCTCTAGTTCTCTTTCCAGGGTGCTGGCTGTGTTGGCAAGCTTTATTAACCGTTCTCGCTCTTCTTCATACTCGTCCAGCTTGTGCTGCAGGTCATCTTCCACCATGCTCTTTGCATCCTGGATCTGCTTGTAAGCAGCTTCTTGGGTCAGCATGTCGGCCTACATTACAGAGATAATGTACAAACAACAAACAAACAAAAGCACTTTAAACAATGTTCAAATATAGTCGAGATACCCGTTTACACAAACTGTCAAAAGTACATTTTAATGCAAATCCTGTGATTTTTTTAAATATTTTGATTGGTTTTATTTAATTCTCTTGGCTAAATATCAAAGTTAACGTGTAGTTTGTTTTGACTTTAGATTTAAACCTGAAGCTGGTATCCACAGAAAAGATGTCAGAGAAAATACCTCAATGCTCTGTAGCTGTACAGCGATGCGTTCTTTTTCTTTGATGGAGCGATGCTGGGTCTCAGTGAGTTGATGTGACAGTGTCACATTTTCCAGCTTCAGATGCTCCAGAACACCAATCTGAGTCATCTGTCCAGCCTATAAAAAACAAACAGAACCAGACATGTCAATAGTTATGTCTCCTGCATGACAACTAATGCCGAGCCGTGACATTAAAACCAACTGCACGGGCATTAAACTCACCTGCATGTTGGCCATTTCGCTTTGCAGACGCACTCTTGCCTCCTGGGCCAGAGCTAGCTGCTGCTGGTACCACTGTCTGACCTGTTGAAGTGAATCGATCTCGGCCTGGGAGGTCTTCAGTCGGCTCTGTAGGGTACTGCGCTCCAGCTGCACCTGTTGAAGCTGACTCTGAAGACCACCCATCTGCTGACGCAACTCCTGAACTGCAAAAGCGCAGGATCAAAACATAAAATTGAAAAATATGCGGTGGAGGTGAGTATATACACTCAGCCATTTGAGTCTCCATCACTCACCTGTGTTGTCCCTTGAGGTTACAGCGTTTTGCATCTTCTCCACCTTCCCCATCAGCCTGTTGTACTGGTCTTCAGCAACCTTTAGATCATTGCTCAGAGAAGCCAGACTGGCATTCTTGTTCTCTAGACTGCTCTGGAGCTCTACCATAGCCTTCTCTAGCTGGCTACAGCTTTGCCGTAGTGTGCCAACCTCTGTAGTGAGGGCACTCTGCTTCTCCTTGCTGACTTGAGCCTCCTCCATTTTAGCCTGCAGCTGTGCATTCACTGTTGCAAGCTGGGCCTGAAGCTCTGTTTTCTCCTTGAGAGCCTAGAAGAGAAGACAGAAGACAGGGCAGGTGGTTATAGCATGTAGCCTGATTATTTTCAGTGTGTACTTGTATAATATCGGTCGCCCACAAGGTTATAATAGGAACTGAAGACCAAAATAAATAAATAAATAAATAAAGTATTACTGATGGTTTGCATTACCTGATTGGCCTCAGATGACAAGGATTCCAGCTGACCCTCAAGCCTCATTTTCTCCTTCAACACTTGGAGCACTTCATCATGACCCATCACAGAACTCTCCAAAGAAACACTAAAACAAATAAACAACCTCAGTGAATAAGATCAAACAAATGAGTTGAGCAACAAAAGATTATACATATCAATCTTTTTCCAAAATGAAAATTTTCAGGTTTCCTCATATACTCAGTCTGTGAAAATACACAGTAACCACAACCGCACTAATATTTTACTAACCTCACTACTCAAATAATAAATTCAAACATTTATTGATTTGCCTTTCTTGTAAGAAATCGTCACCTGCTGGAGAAGCTGTCCCTGCGGCTACGAGGCTCTGCTGTCCCTTCTCTTTCCTGCTCCAGCTCCAGGAAGTGTTGCTCTTCAGTGGCTGCTTGCAGAACCTCCTGAAGGGAAGGGAACTGACCCATGGCCTCGGGGGCGATCTCGCGTCCATCTACTGTGTATGGCCCCTGCTGCCTCTCCACTGCTGCAGAGAGCATACCGTAGGTTCCCCTGGTAGACACACTGCTGTAGGAAGAGCTGTCGCTGTCGTTGCCGTCATTCCCGGGCCTTACCCCTGATTCACTGCCATCAATTTCTGACACATTGTCCCGGACGTGGAGGGGAGCACCAGACTGTGCCTCTGTCTCAGAAGTACCGCACTCTGACGTCACACTGATCTCAGACAGTGTGGACACAGAGCTAATAGTGGAGTTGACAGAGCTTATGTCTGCTGCCTTTATGCCTCCTCCTCCACCACCACCACCACCACCATCATCATTCTCAGGAGACTTGTAATCAGCCAAGGAGTGGATCTTGTTAGGGCGAGGTGACCTGGACTTCTTTTCTTTGGGAAGGGGAATTCCAAGGCTACCAAGTTTGGGACCACGTGGGACACTGGTCCTGAGGAAGGAATACTCCTTAGTCATGGCAACAGTACTAGCCCGGGGTAATGCCTCAGGATGTAGCATAAGCTCTGGATCCAGGGTACTGAATGGTCTGCTCTTGGTGGTGGTACGATGAGACTAAAAAACAGAAGAGAGAATCAGAGGTTGTATTTGAAACAAAAAGAAAAAAGACATCTATTCTTTAATTGGTAAAATGAGTGTCCAGCAAAAATAACCGAATAAATGTGTAAATATTTATATTCACATCAAGTAAAAGAACTTAGAATAAGTCCAGTAATTACTGCACAATTACTAATCTAAGTCACAAACAGCCAAAAAGTTAAACTAATTTCACAGGAAAAAGCAGGAAAAAGTAAATCAGCAGAAACAAGTGACACTGTACTGGTGCACCTCTCTACCTCTAAGATTACGTTCAAGGACTGCTTCTCTGACATTATCGTGTAAATATTGTGATATAACTTTGTACTCATTGGCTGGAAGTCGCTCAGGTCCTGAGGTAATAAAACAGCTCCTCCACCATGGTGCGAATGTTTATGTGTATATTTTTTGCCAGAAGAACATAATTCTCCCTTTGCATGCACCCACCCTCTCCTTCTGTCTCTGCACTCTGTACTGTTTTAGCTGCTCCTCCAGGCGCCGGCGAGCCTCTAGGCGAATCTTCTCCTCATTCTCCATCTCCAGTGATGGTTTCTGGTTGGCTGAAGGGATGAAGGGCGGGGAATGTTAAAACAAGGAGAAAAATGCTACTGCTTAACATATACTATCCAACTACAGCAAAGCAGATTATTTAAACAGGCTATTATGTCACAATTGCAAACGCTGGAATTTGGCGTGGTGGTGAGTGAAGCTGCTTGAAGCCTTGTTCTCAAATGACAATGGTAAACAAATTATTCAAATTTTAGTTATTTTAATACTTGGCCATGGGCAGTAAGTCGAGGTTTGCCACTTGACTTAAGGATTGATGGCATTTGTAGAGCAGGTGTTACATAACTGTTGCGTGTTTCACCCATAAAGTTAAAGGCGTCCTATAGTATAGAGCAGGGGTCAGCAACCTTTCACACCCAAAGAGCCATTTAGACCCAGTTTCCACACAAACGAAAACACTGGGAGCCCCAAATACTTGTTGACATCTAAAATGAAGATAACACTGTATATATTGTTTTTACCTTTATGCTTTGTGTGAACAACTAAGGTGTGTTGCTTAAATCCATAAAGTGCTACAGAGAAAGTTACATTTTATTTATGTAATTAACACATTTTGAACTCTTAAAGAAATATAACAAAAGGAAAGCTGAACTAAAATGATCCAGCAAACAAAAACTGTTGTAAGCTGCCTCCCTGATATCGTCTTTGTGCTTTTGGAGCCTTGACCTGACTTTTAAAAAATAAAAGCACTATGCTGCTAAAAAATTTAAAAATAGATATTTGCAAAATTCTGCCTGAATATGTATTTTACCTGATTAATGTGTGTGGCGGGGCGTGGTCTGTAGGGGAGGCGGACGCACCTGAGCTGCACCCGCAATCACACCTCGCCGCCTTTACGTCTGTGCTCTCTATGCTGTTGTGTTGGTGTGTGTCAGGCTGTGAGGTGAAGAGCTACAGCCGGCTGTGTGCGTACAGCTACTGTGTGTGAAAAGTGGTCAATAAAGAGATGCTGAAAAGCGTGTTCATGGAAACATCTTCGGGTCTGCTGTGATATGTTTACAATGGGACTTCTGCTCCTGAACCTCTGCGCACAGCGTCTGCAAATCGGGGCTGTACGAAGTCACTTTCATCTTTACGCAGGACTGTCAGCTGTCGTCTGTGAGGCGTGAGCTTGTTTGTTTTTAACATAGTTCACGGTGGAGCTGCTGACATAATGTGGATCCGAAGATCCATAACTGGCCTACCTGGGGTTGAAAGTCTCGATAAATGCACGGCGTTTCGGCGGGTACACCGGCTTCCGCGAGTGTGACGCTTATTTTGAGCGATGAAAAAATAATAAGATATAATTGTATTTTTATATTTCAAAATCACAATAATCTTCAGATTTAGAACTACACGTTAAAAAGAACTAACATAAATAAAATACACTTCAACTAAATACTTCTAATTTATTTTCCCAAACCACGCGGAGCCGCACTATAACGACTAAAGAGCCGCAGGTTGCCGACCCCTGGTATAGAGGTACGCAGCTATAATACTGCAATAGATGTACACTGAATTAGAGCTGTGTATTCACCAACAATTAAGAGATACTTCATGTGGGTTTTTCCTGTGGAGTTATTTTGATTCTCTGTAGGAGTTATAATGTGCAGGCAAACAAAATCAGTTATTGCCATGCTTAAAAATATAAGCTTTCATAACTGTGAATCAGGCAATGGTGCCAATTTTTAAAAATACCATGTAAAAGATAATGTATCAGAGTGATTAGTAGCAAAACAAAGCCATGTTTTCAAATAGTGTCTTGAAAAAAAACAAAAAAAGCACCCACACGAAATTTGAGTTAAACAAAAGACTGCTGTGGGAGTTGCTGGGAGGAGGTCAAGTCAAACAGCTAAATGAAATCCTCACTGAATCCTTCACTTCAGATAACACACAGACAGGGGAGTTAAAGCAAACACTTGTACATGAGCCGACGACCAAAACACTCCACATCAAAACGGGAGGTTAGGATAGAAAGGGTTATAGAGGGGGCATTCACTGCACAGAAATTTATGCTTACACAGTTCAGTCTCCTGCATAGGCATACTGAGTCTGAGTGACTGCAATGCATCACCCTTGTGAACCGTGACCTCAGCACTAGCCCCCTCAGACTTCTCTAGCATCATGGGTGGATAAGCAGCCACACCTGGGGAGGGCTGGCGGTTCTGCGAGTTGACAGGGGAGCTGGTGCTCTGGGGAGGAGCTGTCAGAGGCAGGGTGTCCCCTGCAGCATCAAAGCCCTCTGCCAGTCCATTTCCATTTGGCATAACATCTGAATTGACAGGACCTGAAAGAGGAAGGGGGGAAAAAGCCCTCAGGAATCCAACAATTAGTCATGAGAAATTCTTGTGAAGTAGTTTGAGTGGATGTGATTCTTTTGGCAAACTGGCTAGACAACTTTGTCAAGCAACAATAGCTTACGTGCACAAGGCAATGACAAAAACTCATGTAACACTATTGTTACTGAAGCATCCCTCCTAAATGGTAAATGGCCTGTATTTATACAGCGCTTTACTAGTCCCTAAGGACCCCAAAGCGCTTTACATATCCAGTCATCCACCCATTCACACACACATTCACACACTGGTGATGACAAGCTACATTGTAGCCACAGCCACCCTGGGGCGCACTGACAGAGGCGAGGCTGCCGGACACTGGCGCCACCGGGCCCTCTGACCACCACCAGTAGGCAACGGGTGAGGTGTCTTGCCCAAGGACACAACGACCGAGACTGTCCAAGCCGGGGCTCGAACCGGCAACCTTCCGATTACAAGGCGAACTCCCAACTCTTGAGCCACGATCGCCCTCCTAGCTGCATCTACTCTTATAGGAGCAAAACTGGGACTCAGCTTGCAACACAAACACATTTAAAGGGACTGGAAATCTATTTTCTTTGTTACCCACAGACTACAGACAAAACGTGCCATTTTCTGTCAGCGGTGGAAGTGGTTTGTTCATTTTACATGACAGACATTTTCTATGTCCTCTTGTCACTGGTTGAAGTAGTTATGGAGTAGAAAACATGATTCATTTTCAGCAATAGAATGCGGGAACGTCTGCCAAGCAGCTGTCATTTATCATCCCAGAAATGTCCCGCTGAGAGGAGTTTATTTGCGGTAAAATAGTAATATCTATATTTTTAATGATGTTGTTTGTTGCTAATGTAATTATGGATATTTAAATGAGATATTCAAATGTTTTTTCCAAATATAATTACAAAAAATATTTCTGTACACTAACGCATTTATATTTCAATGAAATGAACTACCCGTAATTACAAGTGGAGCCTAAAGGCCACTTTAAAGAACTATGCAGTGAAATAATTTAACACATCAAAAGCAAACTGATCAACAATTCAGCTATTTTGGAGGCTTTTGTATTTCTGGGTAACGCACTGGGTGAGAAAATCTTCCTGCTACTTTTTCCAGTTTGTCTCATGTGCATCCTCAAACTCGTACACTTACATACGTTACAATTAGATACATTCTGTACACATATTTTCTGTCAAAAAAAAAACAAACTGAAACACTGTAAACAGATGATGAAAAATTTGAATTCAGCTCAGCTACATAATATGCTTGTTCAAAGGCCTGTGTAACATGGAGCTGCAGATGGCCTAGAGAGGCTCGTCATAACCACCAAAACAGGTCATGCATGGCAAAATACAAGTGTTAGATAAAAGAGACACCATTACACTTCAGAACTTGAACTGGATACCTCACAATCTAGGAATGAGTGATCCTTTCCAGAAAAGCATGCTTACTCACCGTTATGAATATCCCCCTTTGCATCCTTTGGGTTTTCCAGCCCTTTTTTAAATGTTGTTTCATGCTCCACAGCATGGGCTTGAGCCTCTTTGTATTTTATAACATGGTCCTCTTGATAAGTATTGGCCTCCATCTGGGCTGCCACTGACTGCTCAGTATCCACTTCCATTAAGAGAAGTAACAGTCGCAGCACTGCTGGTGCACTTCTTGAAAGGGCATCTCACTATGCCATCTTCTTAGGAGGCAGATTAGCTGAGAGCATGTCAGTCTACAGGAGCACCTCCAAGCACATACAAGAAGAGAGAAAATATATAACAACTTTTAGCTCCAGTATTGAGATTGCCACACATGAGAAAGATCAACATGCAACACAGAAGAAGCCGTAGCGACTCACCGGGGATCTGTTTTACCCACTAATAAGGTTACGTAACAACAGTCTGCTTTTATAAGCTATAATTGAATACTAACAAACTACTTTGGTAAGTGGATTTTTCAGGTTAAATATAACTTAACTCTGCAATAATTTATGTGTACTTTAAAAAAATGCAACAAAAGTTTCCCCGTTTTATCGCCTATTTTTCAGCCACGCACCACTGAAGTAAATCTGTGAGGGCATGTGTACAACCTACCCTACCAGAGATACGTCTTATCAAGCACAGTTGATATTTAAATGTAAGCCTTTCCGAAGATTAAAAATCAGTGACAGCAGTACTCTGCAAAGCCCTTCCGCGTGACATGTTATATTATTATCGTATCCTACTATAAATGATAACCTATGACTCATAGGGTGTGTTGCAAAGACTGGTGCAGCCGCTGGACGCACAGTGGCTACAACTGCTGCTAGTAGCTAGGGTGCTAGCATCTACTCAGACTCAGACTCGGAGTCGGCATCTCGGGGAAAAAGTAAGACAGTTGATGGCAAACGTTACTGTAAAGCCCCTATATTTCCAGCGACTAGGCTGAATAATTTCACTTCATATAAAACTGGCAATGACAAGAAAGACGCACTAAACTTTAGGTGGGTAGCACTAGCTAGTGAAGCTAACGTGGGTGCTAATTAGCCTCGGGACCTGTCAAGCTAAGAATTGCTACAACCTGGAATCGCCTTCACGCCTTCATAGGACCATTTTCTGAAACGCTTAAAGTCATTCGCCGAAACACCTGGCTTCACCTTTGTTACAAACCCTAGTATAAATTATAAAATATATCACAGATAAATGCTACAAAATACAACAAATACTCACCTTCTTGCGAGCTTCGCCTTTTACTACGTGGCTGTTTAGTTTCGGTCCCTTTTCTGTCCGACTAGAAACACTGGGCTCAAACAATACATTATTTGAAACAACTAACTAAGCTTGTCGGGTCACTGACTGGCTGTCTGTGTACTCTCAAATGTTGAAATTTAAATAGAAAAACATATATTATAAATCCGCGCAATATCTGAAGATGTATATAGCAATAATACATGTATTACACGACCCATAATAAGGAACGGACAGTCGCTCCGGTGACTGTCGGATGTGGTACAATGCTTCACTCTTGTGGTCAAATACTGCGCCCTGCTTTCCAGCTGTGCTGACAACCTGCAGCTGTGGTACCGTCACAAGCAGCTGGTGCCACTTTATAGGCCTTACCAAGACGGTGCACGGACATGCATTAATATACACACGATTAAATCACGCCACTGCTTAACGTAATTAGATTAAATAGGATTCCACATCTAGGATTTGAGCTACGTTTTTATTTAAAGGTAAAGCACTTTCACTGGTACAGCACTGTTCAAGAGTCTCAAGTTATTCCTCATGTCTTTAAAAATTTTAAACTCTGTTTTAAAAATTTAAAACAAACTTGAAAGTCAGTATTTGAAATCACGACATTTATTCTTCAACACAGCCTGAACTTTCTTAGACAAGCTTTCTTGTCATTTCTTTGAGTAGTCTTCAGGCATAGTTCTCTCTATGGCTTTGTGCATGTGGTGCAGGAAGCTGTCTTAGTGATGTGGATGTACACAATTTTGTGTGCGTGTGTGTGTGTATGTGTCTAATAGGCTGCAAGAGCTTCATAAATGTCTAAGATGCTGTACCTATAAATGTCTCTTTTTTGGTTGGTTGGTTGGTTGGTTGGTTTTTAATTCTGACAAACAGGAGAGAACTGTCCTCCTCATGAGTCTCAGCTACATTTGCTGTATTAAGAATATAAATATGTATGCCTGTACTGTTTTGTGCAAGTAGAAAAAGGTTGCAAGGGCTATATATTTTTAACTTTATTCAGGTATTAGTGTTATTTTTTTGGTCTAATTTATTTAACTGAGTCATCAAGAAATGTCAAAGATAACACAGTTTGACAAGGATAAAATAGTAATTTTGCACCAGCAAGTAGATTCCCAGAAAACTATTAGTTAAAAACTTAGCACATCTTGACATGGTGTGCAGTCTGTCCTTAAAAAAGTAGAGGGCAAAAGAAGGAAAACATCAAGCAAAAATATGACACTGGATGTGAGAAATGCATCTGTGCCACAGGCCCTTCAGTAGATTCCTCTACTGTTCACTGAAGCCTCTTCAGAAGTGGTCTCAGAGGAAGGATGGCTTAACCCAATCTTAAGGAACAAAACATCCATTTGTTAAAAATAAATAAATAAAATAAAAAGATAGGTGAAATCTCTGTCATGCTTTAGGACTGCATTTCAGCCAGTGGTGTTGGGGACTTTGTCTAAATTGATGGAATTACAGGACAGAAAAGGACCATCAGGTTTTGATTAATGATGTAATACCATGTGGGAAGCTTTTGATTGACAATTGCTTTATTTTTTTTTGACATGACAGTGAGCCCAAACACACTGTTAGTGCAGTAAAAACCCGGATTAAAAGACATAATGGAAAGCTACACTTCATAAATGAAACTCAGACTTCAACATGGTTGAAGCAGTGTGATTACAGACTGTTGGAAGACAGATCTGTGTGGAAAACACACATGAATTGGCATTTTTAAAAGGAATTAAAAACTTTTACTGCAACGAAATCTCTGTAAATCTATGAATTTGGAGGTGAACTGTTCACAAAATGTCTTTCACAAAAAGACTTAATGAAATCCCTCCACAAATGTGATGAAAACAGTTATTTGGTGATTTTCCACGTAAAATAATTATTAACATGAATGGAAGTTAATAGACTTTCAAGAAGAGCTGTAGAATGCAAAAAAAATAATAATTAAAGCTGATTTGAAAACATTATTGTTCTTTGTTGAGAGTATTTGTCAAAACTTGTTAAATCTTACATGAAAATTGCTGAACAAGTCATGTGTATAAAGGCAGT